GCCATTCTCTGTATACTGGCATAAGTTATGCTAACTGGACGCTGGTTGACACAGCTTCATTGTTGACTGGAAATGAGGTCAGAGCAACCTGACATGTCAGTCACTATTAAAAGAGAGCAAATCCATCCTCCATCCACAGAAAACTGCTAACAAGAAGGCCATATCAGACTGAACCAATGGCTGAAACTGCCATTCTCTCTAAATACCAGGCTAGAGATTTGCTTACGCAGTAGCAGCACTTCATTTTGGCATCTGAGGTGTTCAGCAAATAAAGCAAGGATCAGATAGTAGATATGCTGTGTTTGAAACCCTGTCTGTGATCTACTGACCTGGGCATCCTGCTGGATATTGCAGGGTGTCCTTGTTTTTCATCTTTGCAAAGCTTTTTCAGATTTGTAATTTTGCGTATCCCACAGTGGAGAAAGAGCTAAATAACAGGCTTTTCAGACCATCAGAGTATCCTCCTTCACCCCTTCGCAAGGCTATGTCACTACAAGCCTTATCATGTTGATGGTAAACATGGAAGCTGATGTCTCTGTGGTTAATGTGTCACTCAATCATCTTCTTTCTGGGAGAAACTTGAAACTACCTTGAGATGCTGGAGGAAGAATCTAGTATTATGTGAAAAAGAAACCAACAACCTCTGCCAGCACTCCACTGACATATCTATTTAAAACTGCTGACAAACACATGTTCACATGAACAAACATGCATTCATATGATTCAATGTCACTGCCTGTAGAAACACGACATGCATCTATACCTCCATTGTGTGGAGGGGCATATAAAGCAAGGCTGATTTCACAGGCAGATCCCCCACTCTGTGGCATGCCCTGACATTATAAACAGGCTTCATGAAGAAGAAGAGCATCAGTAATTGTTGCAAGGGGTGGAGGGACAAGCAGTCGGTGCAGCAGGCCTTCAACTGGCTGATTGTGCCTCTTTGACTGCCTGTGATAATTAAAATAACTCAATCTCCCCCTGTTCCAGTCACAGTGGTGGCATCGCAAAGCGAGCAGCAGCGCTGTTATTGCTTGTCCTTCAGCTGAAAGGATCGTGTTGGCCAGAGAGCTGAGGGCTTTTGTTCTGAAAGCTGAAAAATCTGGTGTCCAGCCCGGACGATTTTTAGCAATGCGCCCTGGGAAATGAGTTATCTAAGCAGCGCATGCAAGAAACCCTGACATTAATCTTTAATTAAGGCCTTTACAATTTCGGACGACATGCCCGGGAGTATGAGAGTTACTGTAGGGGATAGATATGAACAGTGGGCAGCAGGGAGGGCCAGGCAACATATTATAACTCATGGTGAGCTCATTTTGTCTCATCAAAGTCACAGATCCGTTGTTCCGCCAAGACGTTGTGTAGCTTTCCTTTTCAGCTGTTTGGATCATGAGACACACTGTAAGGCAAGCCTGGAATTGAGACGGTCCTGTTTTTTTCTTTTCCTTTTTGCGAAAATAGATAATAATCCCTGGAGGTAACTGTAGTGAAACGTGCAGTGTGGCTGCTTTGTTTTCTTCGAGATGATCCAGATTGCTGCAGTATATATTCCACAGCTCTTGATAAGAGGATGTCATCTCATAACTGTTTGTGTGAACATATCAAGGTGACTGCTTTTGGTTAACACATTGTTTTTTTCCTTCCTTTTTTGGGGGAGGGGGTGGTCTGGTAATTGGTTGTGGATCTCTTGTTGAAAGAGGCAAGTGATAAACCTGCTGGTAGAACCAGCATGCCACTGAAGCTTTTCTTGTCTTGTGACAGCTGCTGCCTTTGTGATGTTCCACAAAAAGCCCCAAAGACACAACCTGTTTCATTCTGGCTGAAGATTCACATGAAAAAAGACAAGTCTCCTATGAAACAAAATGGAACTTAGGTAATTGTTTTGATTACTCCTTTCCCTGTTCCCAGAAGGATGAAGGCATTACAAAGCTGAAAGTGGAGGTTTAGGGAAGAAGGGACTGAGGAGAAGTGGCAGCACATCTCCCTGCGGCAAATTTGTTCGCTGGCAACAATGAGAGACAGATGGGAGGATGGTGGTGGTGGTAGCAGGAGGGGGGTGGGGGGTCACACCTTTGTGAGGCAAAGCAATTGGGAGCGATTAAACCCTCATTCGCCGTAGGGACTATCCACTCTGTGGAAGGAGATGGCTCCAACAGCGCCTGCAGCACTGTTCCTTTTATCTCCACTCCTCATGAAGACCCTGTAAATGCCATGGGAGTAGTTAAAGTGAAGCACACAGTGTTCTGCTGGGCTGGTTCACTGTTAATGTTCAACATCATGACAGCAAATGAAAAGAATTTCTAAGGTTGTCTGCACCACTGCAGTGGATCATCTATGCAATAAGACTCCGGCTTAACCCGTGTAATTAAACTTGCGACCTATTCAGTTATACCTCGTCCCTTCTTGCCACATGGAACAGCTCAAACCTCCATTCTGCCCATATGCTGATTCCACTTTACATAGCTCTGATTTGCCACCACCTGGAAACAAACGATGATTGAATGCTTAACGCACTTTCATCCTGACCCTCAGCCATTTTCATCCCAGATTTGGCAGATAAGAATATATCCCATCATGAAACTGGTTCAATACACAGTAGCTGGGCTGGCTCAGGCTCATACTCTTTGCACTGGAACTGGCTGCTCATCAGCCCAAGAGCACATGAATGCTGAGGGGCCCCTCTATCATTGCTAGACACACAATCACAAGTTCCTTGCCAGGTTATTACGAGTCATTCATCACCTGAGCCTGTTTCGTGTTTCCTTGCCATCAGCTTCGCTTCAGCTTCAACACTTTTAAATCTCTGTACGTAACCATTTGTCCGTGCATTGCACTTCCTTTCAGCTTTTCCAACATGCCTTTTATCTCCCCACCTCCATTTACCCTGCTTATAGCCCCAGCCTGTGCACCTGGCTCATGTGGGTCTGTGCTGCAAACGCTCCACGAAACACACAGCACAGAATGTCCTAATCAAAAGCTATTGACAAACACTTTGATGTTGCACTGGTGTGAGCTTGAAAACATATTATGCCTGTGCCTTGAGAGAAGAAGTGGCCAAATAAACAGGCCGTGGTCATTGTTCTTTTGATTCGCTGCACATATTGCCGCTGCTTCTTAATAGACGGATAGTGAATGTGAGGCAGAATTAAAATACCACCAGAGGCAGATTCCCAGAGGCACAAGAGCAGGACAGATCAAAAGGGAAATGAGGAGATCCACACAAGCCATATCAGCCTGGTATCATCTGGGGTTTGCCCTCCTGTGTAGGTACGTGCACCATGGCAACCACAGCAATTGATTGGCCCATGTCTCCCGCTGCGCACAGTGCAGGTCTTGTTATGTGGGATATTGGTTTTTTACTGGGCCCTTCATAGCGTGCATTAGCTGTGGTTTCTCAGGTGCCCAGCCGTCATGTACGCTTACCTTCTATTCAGTTCGGCATGACTTTGAAGGACAGCAGATGTAAAGAAGCGAGGATGACTGTGACAAAATGCTCAAGGTCTCTGAAATGGTACTGGTACCCTGAAAGCCTGAAGGTGTCAAATTGAGTAGTTAAAAGTAGCCTCTATCGAACCTGTCAAAAAACCTCCATTAACTATGATTCTGTTTATAGATCCTGGTCTATTTTTCTCCAAAACGTTTAGAGTAGCTACATATTCATTTAATTTGGTTTGGCTTTATTTTGTATTTCTGTATATTATTAGCATAGTTGTCAGTTAAAATACACCACATGCTCCATATTAAACCCCCAGGTAGCCGTGGAAATCAGCACAATCAGTTCAATTACCGGAAGATATGCTCCTCTATGGGTTAAGAGATTTCTCTAAATCTCCTGGCTTCATGAAACCCTTACAGAAAAAACAAGATGCCTTACAGCTAAGAATTAAACTGTTCCTTTTAGTTTTGCGAACATTTTCCCAGTCAATAACAAACTAGAATACAATTAGAGTGATTCTTGTTAGTGTGTTTCAATGTAATTCTATTTCTTTTGTAAAAGCTAGTAAAAATTACATTAAACCCTAGGCAGTTTTTGTTAGGTTAACAACTCACAAAATCATACATTGTCATACATTGTTACCACATGTTGTTGGGCACCTTTTATTAAAATTCATGCAATTTCGAGTTGTTTTTGCCTGTATATTGAAAGGTTTCCAACACAGGACAAACATGTGTCTGGATAGATGAATGTCAGGATTTTAGCAATTTCAGACGATGACTTGATGTAACATTATACACCCTAGAACTTAAAACGATAAAGGCAACTACATTCAGCTTTATTGTGTTGTTGCCTGAATTTGCCTACATTTGAAAGTCTGAAATAGAAAGTGTGCCTCCTTTGCAGTTCAACCAACGATGTACAGAAAACAATCAACTCGATTTGAAAAATTTGATGAGGCATGATCTGAAGTTATAATGAGTGATTCTTTTTCACACTTGTTTATCCTCTGTGGACACGGAGATGCTATCACCGTAAAGAGTGAGTTGCCCCGAATTCGGCATCTGTGTGATTGACATCTGTGCTTTTGCTAATTTATGACACTTGAAGAAGTAGTGTAATTCTTTGATGCAAAATGGAGGTTAAACAGGTATTTACCATAGTGAGCGTCATGCATCCTTTTACATAGCTACTGGAAAATATACAGTGGCTTGAATTACAGCTGATTTATACTGCACTCCTCCAGAATGATTTTGTCTGTTGTCCTTGTCAGCCATGTTTCCAGATGTCTGAAAATGTATGACCCCTCTTGACAATGTATGACCCCTCTTGACAAATACCAGCTTTTAACAGTACAGTATTCCCTAGAACCATCCCCACGCCTTCATTAGGTATGCAGTTAAAAAAAAAAAAAAGCAGAAAGCATATGAATATTGAAATGAATAATGTATAGTTTTTGCTTTTGGCTATAGCAAGATCTGAGACAAACCGGCTTGCTCTCGCTGCAAATTTCAAGGAGCTGCAAATGTCAGTTACATTCTCCTTAAATTTAAAATGTACACCATAACTGTATATACTTTTATTTAGAAACATTTTAACAGTGAAACAAAACATGTTCAGGCAAAGACAACAGGGACAACATTTTTGATTCAGGGTCATGTAAATAGTGATGTTTTCCTCAGGGCATTGAAACCAATATTCAAGCCCTGACACCGCAGACACATATTCAATAGTTTGTGCTCTCTTGAGCTCTCTCGCACACAGCTCCGTCTCAGCAGTCAATGCACCACAAAGTTGGCATTCATTCGTTTAATCTAATTTCATTTTAAATACAATATATACAATACAACATTTGAAATGATACGTGTAAAAAAATATATGTCATCTTACAATACAGTACCATTTAGAGAACGATGGAAAGTAATACAGACACAGAAACAACATCTTAACACACTCGCTCCACTTAACAATACACAGCACATGTGGACTCCGAACCTGTTGTAAGGTAGTATCGGTAGGCTTAGTACAAACCCAGTACAATTTTATTAGCAGAAGCTGAACAATAATTCATAGATCCTGATGTACAAAAGGAGTTGTTTTATCCACTGAAAATGCTTTTGTTCATGCACTTTGTACATGCTCCACTGGAAGACCGCTCACATTTCAAATAGCTCAGGATCCACACATCATATTCACATTCATCACTTGCTTGAAGCTTTTGGGATCGGATCCTCACAGCCAATATAACTGAACAAACTCAGACAGTTACCTGCCTGCAAGTGATTCACAAACCTCTGCCCTTTTGCTCACAGAGATCTACTGATGCAGTTAGTGTTTAATTCTTGACAAATGGACAGTGAAAATGGCCATTTATTAGCTGTAAGTACTAAACAGGAGGAAATAACAGTTTTTCCTTAAGTATTAAGTGAAATGTACAGTATAACGGATCCTGTGCACACTGTTCACTCAAGGCCCTAGTAAGTATTGTGGTTTTCTAAACCTGCTGCCAATAGCAAATAATGCTGTGTGCAGCAGTTTGCTGACATCCAGTTGAGGAATTTATGCAGCTTTTGTTGTTATCCCCAAGATGTAAATCTGTCCATAAATCTGCAGCGTGCAGCTAGTTTTGGATGGCATCTTATTTCGGATAAAGACCAGACAGCAATTTCTCCTCCAGAAATATCAGCCTCACAACACGGTTGCTCTACTTGGGCATGAGGCGTATCAAAGCCATCCATTACACTTGTAAAACAGCTAACTGCCCTGCGGTGACATCATGTGTTTATAGCTCATAAGCAGGTAATACTAGGTTGAATTGGCACCATGGTGTGCGTCATAAAGAATACCACACGCGTAGCACAATGTAGATTGTGTTTCCAAGCATCATCCATTCAAACAAGATCCCCTCCAAGGGGCTGATCCATGCAGGTCATGGAATCATTCACCAAAATGAATGACTGTATTTCAAGGGAAATGCTGAAGAAAAACAATAAGCCATATTGTGAGGTGTTGGGTATTCTAATTTCATTTCAGATAGCACATGGGGGATTTGCTGAGGAAGGATTTTGAGGTGGCGGTACAAGCCAATCTGCAAAAGGTCTCGATCTGTGACACTGAACAAGACCTTGAGGGAAAACACAGAACAGGTGGCTATTGCAACAGCGGAACAAAGCTTTACAAAACTGTCACAGCATGCTTAATGACGATCTGCTTCCACCTCATGTTCCTAAAGAACATCAGTGTTATGTAAACATTTACCTCTTTATTGCATTGTTGAGTGATTTCTTGCCACCATTTCAATGTAGAAACAAATCTGTCACTGCACATTGCTCACCAACAGATCACAATTACATGAACATGGAAAATGACAAGGTTATTTCCAAAGCACGGCTCTGAATTGCTGTAAGCATCGGATGATGAGTTGACATGTGCAGCGTTAATTCTTGAAAATGTTCGCTGCTGAACAACATAAAGCAAGGTGGGGAATTCTAAAAAGGATCTTCAAAAGAAAGCCAAGCAAGTTTCCCCAAAGCAGCAGCAGCAGACTGTATGAACCGAGAGCAAAGATCACAGAGAGGCAACCATGTAGGAGCAGAAACATTGGAGTTGTGAGAGCGCAACATTGGGGAAAGAACGAATTGAGATCCTATAGCTTCAGGGGAGATGTTGTTTTGCTGGTGTAGAGAGTGAAGCAAACACAGACCAATTTACTGGGGGAAAATTGTGCTGTGGTGGGAAAAAAAGAGACCTAAGAGCAGACCTGGCCCATTCTTCACTGTGCAATCTAATCTCAGCTCCTGGAGAAGATGGGTGAAAACAAACATTGTTCTCCTGTCAGCAGCCCTGACGGAACATGCAGTAAAAGAGCTCAGCCCACTCACACACCCGCCTCGAACACAGTGAAGAAGAGGATTATACTGGGAAAGAATATTTAAAACTGAAAGAAAATAAAAGTGATATGATGAATATTCAAGGCAACAATGATCTCTGATACTTTCCTGGTGGGTTTTCAAGGAGGAAAACAATTAAGGACTAAATGGGGACATTCGCAGAGGGTCCCAGGGCTACACTTTTGCAGGCTCAATATCAGTCATGAAAGACTGCTGAAGACAAAGGAGCTTTAATTTGATGGTATTTAAAAGAAGAATCTGTTTTGAAAATGTTTTTTTGTTACACCCCCCCCATTATAAATAATTAGTGGTTCATAATATTTAGAAAAGCAACTGTGAACTGTAATAAAATTAACAAAACTAGTAATTCAATAGTTTGCTGTTCCCTAAGTTAGATTTGATAACGTTTCTGAAAGAACCTTAAAATATGTCGCCTTGGTCAGGCTGGGTGATATTATTAAAATGAATATTAAAACATTGATATATTGATGCTGATACAAAATGGCAGATGTACACAAGATCACTTTTTAAATGATAAAATCAATGTTCAGTGCAATGAAATGTATTCTGTCATTATGCTTTACACCAGACATAACTCTTTTAATGTGTAAAACAAAACCGAAAAGTCATTTTCTTAATCCTTCATTAGATTAGCTTGGAACAATTAAAGAATATGGCTGGTGTAATTCTGTGTATTTTGTTATTGTCAACAAGTCCCATGAAAAGGCCGTAACCAAAAATGTGTTAGTCCGTCTCTTAGTACTTTCTGACTTCCCCACTACCTGTTTGTAGCTGTCAGGTCCAAACCCATTCATTCCTACTGAAAATGTAAATCTTTAAAAACAGGTCACAAATATCTAGTTCGATTTTCTAGTCTTGTGTATTTCCTAAAGCAGTAGGCCAGCGTAGCTTTGAGATGTATGAGGGATTGACTCGAAAATGAACTACAGTTTATCGTAATTAAATAACCTGCCACCCAGTGGAATGGTATGGCTCGCTGATTTTAATAGGTTTTGGACAACAGTGGAGCTTTATGGCACTGAGGAATAAGATATATCAGACTTTGGCAAACATGGAAACACTTATTAGTAGGATCAATTCATTGTTGATCTTGGTCTTTTCATAGGACTTGTTATAGTAATATTATATAATAAAAAAAGTATATAATGTTATAAGCCTTATCCTGTTGTAAAACAATATCACAGAAAGTTGGTAAAACATAATACTGAATTATCACCCAACCCTATGTTAAGGATAACAACCAAAGGCTGAAATAAATAAAAGCTTATGGAACATTTCAGAAAACATGATTACTCTGAGGTCAGTTGAACAGTCCTTAAGAATGACTGGGAGGATGCTCTACTAAGGTCACAACTTGCAGGTATAAAAAACTATAGACTGATTTGGCAATCAAAATGAGTATCAATAAATACATACAAAATGAATAAATAAACCTGGAAATACACACATTAGTAAATAATGATAATAAAAACATTTGCCTCTATGACATACTAAGAGTCTTTATGTATAGTCCTCATTGACTTGGGGGTTGTGTAGTCCATAAACTTATACTTCTAATAATGAGCCATTCTTTTTGACTGGCTGTCACCACAATGCGCACACACTCAATGTTGAAGGCAATTTTGTGGTCTACATCTTGAACCTCAATGTTGCCATTTTTAAACTCTCCTAATGTGATATAAGAGGAACAGAGTTTCCCTTTTTTAGTCCCAACTAGTTTCTCTCCCACTTCCAGAGCTCCGTGGTGAAGAATGTCATTCTGACGGTCATCAGAACCAGTAGCAATCTTAATTTTACTAATTTTGGTAGATTTATTAAAGACGATGACAAAGAAGTCTCCTGTGGAAGGAGGCTTCCCCCAAAAGTATTCGTCCACGGTGCTGTAAGCCTTGGCGGCATCATAGTTCTCAAAGACATTGATGTTTGTGTAAAGGCTGGCAGGAGGGTTGTCAGGAATGTCTATGGAGTCTTCCTCAAAGTCGTCGTCCTTCAGTTTGTTCTCTGCTCCTTTGTAGGAAGAGTAGTAGCCCATGTGCTGGAACAGAGAGGGCTTGAAGCGGATCACGTCCTTCTGGGCGAGCAGACCTCTGAAGTGGATGAGGAGCCAGTCGCAGGGCATTTCCTGGTAGAACATGAGGAGGAAATGAGCCAGACGTGGCAGGTCTTTGGAGTGGTAAAGCTTCCCGATGTAGCCCAGCTTGGAAAACTCCAGCATCACCCAGTAGGAACCATCTCTGGAGGTGATCACCTTCTTCAGCGCCGTCAGAAAGTTCCTGGAGCAGCGCACGTCGTCCTCTAACATCATGTAGAAATGAGAGAGGTTTGTGCAGAAGTTGAGGAGGAAAGCGTAGTCCACGTTCTGCTTAGAGCGGAAACGGACCCGGTCCTCTGGGTCGTTGTAGTTCCTTTTTAAGCCGTCCAAAGATGGATAGTACTCCTCTGGGGCCTGGATCACCAGGAGGCGTCCCGCTATGATGTGGTGAGCAAACTTCCTGGTGATTTCCTGCACCAGGTTCTCACACCAGACCAGGTCAAAGTCTGCCAGGTGGACCACAACCACAATCTCTTTCAGTTCCTCGTAACTGGACTGATCAAAGATGGATTTGATCGTCTCCAGAAGGTAGTTTCCTCTTTTTCTTTTGACTGATGACAGTCCAATGGTGAGATACTCTGTGGACAAAAATAATTATTTCATATTATAATAATGTAAACAGAAATTCTTGAAAATGACCAACTTTAAGTATAGACATGTATTAATGGATTCAAGAAATTTCAAACTCAAAACTGATAATCTTGGGCACTTTCAAATGCATCCCTTAATCTTAATCAGTTTATCTTTCGAACATACACAACCCCTACCATGCTTTGGTCACATGATAACTGAGTGAAGTACACCCACTAATGATGACTGTTAGATGCAGTTGAAATTTCTAGAAAAAGCTTGTAAGTGGATCTTGATTTAGGATTACTTTGTCAAAACTGTATTATTTTACAAATCAGAGAACCACAAAATGTATTGGTAATATATTTTTTCCATCATTAATATTTATGATGAAACATTTATCACACTTTTATTACCAGTGATGAAGTTATATTTTTGTGCTCATTGTAGGTAAAAGCCAAAAACTTAATCTTGACAGCCTTTATGTGATAAGAGTCATGTGTAGTGTTTAATATTGAGGTCTCTGTGGAGCAGTTTCATTTTATTGTTGTGCTCTAAATCCCCATGTCAGACATTTAAAGTTTTACTTTTTATTCATGTTCACAACTATTACTTACTGTAACTACCCCATGCCCATGAATCTAGTCAATGAAATATCGTCTTTAAACAAACACTCAACTTACTTTTGCGGTTCAGCGGGGTTCCAGCGAGATAACGATACGTGACATTAATGGTTCCAGAGAAATTACTGAGGTCTCTGAAGGTGTGAACGTATCGTTCTGAGCTCGGAGCGTGGACTGATGTTACTCTAAGCTGTCTTTTATCCCCTTCCTGGAATGCAACATGAAAAACATAAAATTACTTCACATTATGAAGAACAGAGAAACAACGACATGTACAAGCTGTCACCACTACTGCAGGAAAGGACAGGAAAGCCATCAGAAAATTTTTAATTTCTACTGTGAATAATTCAAATTAGGGGGAAACCAGACTTTTGTTTTCTTAAACTCGTCTTTAACATCCTGTACAAACTTGAGACAATATATGTTTTGATGTGGCTGAGCTAGCCCTCGACGTTTGGAGACAAAAGGAATCTTAAAACCTCTCCAGGCAGTTTGCATAGCTGAGCAAATGGACTTGAGAAAGCACTAGAGAGCTGAAAATGTGAACTACTTCTTAATAATTCAAAAAACAAACACAGATAATGTACTGTGATCACCAACTTTTGAAGGCATCATGAATAAGAAATAAATCATCTGGATGATTTCAACTTGGGTCCATGTTATGAAAATTTAAACATGGTTCCTTTAAAAACAAGCAATTATAAAAGGGACAACATGGGTGGAGCGGATAAATACAAGAGTACATCTGGTTTCAAAAGCATATTTGGTCAAATTTGTTGTTCAGACATTAAGAAGGAATACAAATACTAAGCCAGTACTTAATCTAAATTTTCAAATGCTTGCTAAAAAACAATACAAATTTACTAACCACCACGTAGCCATCTTCAATGTAGAGATTCAGGAAGAGGAGGAAGGTGATGAGGAAGCCGAGGAAGGGAATAGTGGAGCGTTTCCTCAGACACCTCATCTTGTCCAGGGATTTCCACACCAGCCTCATGCTGTATGCACTCTCACTGGTATCTGCATGAGAGCAACATGAGAAATGACATTAGACCGGCTTGCTTTGAATGTCGTCAGCTCTAGGTGCTGCATGTGAATAATATGCCTTTTTATCATCAACAGATTGTGGGGGAAAGTAATTTTAGGATCATACGGCCATGTATGACGCGATTATCTGCCACTAGCATCATAATTATTCTTCAACACACTTCCAACGATGTGTGATGTGTGGATTAAAAAAAAAAAATCCTTTTCAGTGAAAGATTCTGGACCAAATCATATGACAGAAAAGCACTGCAGGACATAAAGGATATTTGAATCAAGTATGTTTCTTCACCAATAAAAATGAAAACACACACTAAAAAAGCATCCACATCCCCCACACCCTGGTATTTTTAGCTGTGCATGGATGGGTGGTGGTGCTATGGTTGATGGCCAGCATTTCAATATATTCTCATGCTGCGAGGGTCAAAAAAAGATTCTTCTGTTTGCTCTTATCAGCTAGCGTACTCCTCTTTGTTGTGAAAATGTGACTTTTTCTATTTGTAGATTATAGGCCACCATCACTAAAGGGAAAAGTCAATTCAATTTTCAATTCAGTTCACTTTATTTCAGATTTGCGGTCCATAGAAGAAAAAGATTAAAGAGATAAAAAGCAAAAGATGAGAAGAAAAAGAGACACAATGGGGCATGGCAGGAAATCCTCACATTTGAGAAGCTGGAGCCAGGTATGGAATTTTGCTTGATAAAGAACTTAAATTATCAGTCAAATAGCACGATTAATGCCAGTAAATGCTCTGTCAATCATTTTACCAATTCAGTGAAAAAAGGTAAACAAAGACTGGTGCAGCAGAAAAACGGTTCTAGCAATACTTTCCTTCCGGTTGCAGACAGAGGCTGATAAAGGGTAGGAAAATGATTTAGGAATCAAACTGGTGACCTGCCCTTCTGCTCACAAACCAGTTTTTAGATCCTTTAAAAGCTGTGATTATATTTTCAACAATACAAGAAGACTTTAGCTGTATTAGCGCTGCAAAGGATAGAGAGATGGCGGACATGAAGGCCAGATTAGATCTCACAAGATGTTTTGTTGCAGCTTTCTTGTTTACAACCATTCAATGCCTTAATCAATTAAAAGCTACTATAAATAACAAGAGAACAGGAGCAGTGTGGTGGTTGTGAGGGGTAGGTTGTGTAGAAATGGGAGCACTGGATGAACACAAAGTATCTGTCTATTGTACACCTGTACAATCTAATGCAATCTATTTCAATATCTCAAAGAAATGTAACCTTCAAGAAGCTTATAATATGACATTTTTGAAAGTCAGACAAGCTGATATAATGTTGTAAGAATGTATTGGTACAATATGCATTACAGTACCTTGCTGTAGGTGGTGTAATGTATATGAGGGGATAAAACAACAGACTGCAGTCTAGAACACAAAGACACTGAGTCGAAACACAAACTCACAAAGATGATGCGGTTCCTGTATGTTGTGTTACATTACAATGTTAAAGTGTTAATAATGTGTTGCTTCCTACTGGCTGTCAGAAGCTGAGCTCAGTCTCAAAAAGATTGGCAACTTCTCATAGCCACTGTACAACTGAGACTGACTGAGGAAGAAAAAGCCCAAACAGCAGCAGCAGCAGAAGTAACAGCCTACAGATGTATGGTGTTGGTCTTTTCTTTGCCAGCAATTAGGCATCAGCATGCGCTTTTGTTCCACTCCTGCAAAACCCCAGAGATGCCTAATAGAATACAAACTACCTCTAAGCTCAGTTCAATGGCCATACACACATCGATCACTCGCACCAGGAGTCAGCCTCACCTGGGATTTAGCTAGTCAATACCTCTTTGTGCACACTTGAAAACTGAATTTAACACATCCATCCACTGCGGCCTGTTCTGTGCAATTTTCAACACAGTGTAGTTTAATGTGGCAGGCAATTATCAGTAATTACAATATTTCGAGCTGTTTCTTTTTTGCCTACACAGTATAACAAGCCAAATAAGCATAACTAGCTACAGTAAAAAAAAAAAAAATCTGCCTTAGTTGTGAACTGGTTAATGGCTGCAATTTTATACTGACTATGCAAATTATGAATTCAAAGAACTGGTATTTAAGGAATTAACCGAACCTGTTAAGACTAACCTGTGAGTATATTCCCCACATAAAACATCCGATCTGAATCTGATGATACCAGCTAAATCAACATTTGCTGTAGTGTCTGCAACTTATCTTTCATACACTATTTATAAGCTATTGTGTTACCACATCAGGGATGCCCTGCATACCATGTACATGCATGACATACAAATCCACTTCCTCTAAGTCTGTAGCACTACTTTTAAAGCAGAATATGTTGCTTCCATTATGTGTGTGGCGTGTCTCAAGTAAATTGCAGAGTTCTGCTGTAGAAAGCTGGGCGCAGCATAATGATGAGAAGAATCAAGAAGGCCACTTTGGAGAAATCTCAGCTAATGGCATGAAAGTAGATGGGTCTTTCTGACACCACGGCTCGGGTAACTCTTGTTTCTCAGTGCCTGCCTCGTCTTCCTTTGTGGGAATTCAGCAGCGGCTCATTCTTCTTGCAGAAACATGAGCTGTCTTGAGACGTGTGACCTAAAATAAAACTAAATGGTATTCTTTGCGTGATCCAGAGAGAGATTTACAATTAAACAACTTTTTCTGCTTCGTGTTGGAGGGAAGTTGATCTCTCAAATTGGAGTTTTGGGTGCCTATCCTGATGATACAAGACAAAGCGAGGCGCCTCTCTCATTTCAATAATTCAGTGTGGGCTCAGTGCAGGAAGAGGATGAGATGCTCGTGCTGCCAAAGGCGCAGCTGGGAAACATGTTCACTTGTCCTACCCCAGATTTAAGTGTGAGTGAGATGCACGGTGGAGCACCTAAAACATCAGCGTCCCTATTTCCAGCCTACTGTATATTCCTGGAATATGCTAGGGTATGGTTTATATAGATGATATGAATTCACTGCAAGCGTTAGTTAACAAGAATGAGGCATGTGTATGTTGTTGTGGCATGGATCCAGAAGGGAACTGCAGCAGTGAAATGGACTAAGTGTATTTTAATGGGTGTGTCATCCTGGCAGTCACACACTCAGATGTCCCCAGCACCATTTCAGGACACAGCACACTTCCAGCAGGCTGAGGCTGTTAAATGTCCATTATACACTGTGTGTGTGAACTGAACCAAATAAACCACAACACTGCCTCTCTGCTCGCTTATACCCACCGCGCTGTGCACTTAACTCGTATCAACTGTCTTTCCCAAACTCCTTTTGAAAACCGTGCTCTCAGTAAGAGGTTAAATCCCATTAGATTGACATAAAGGGAGCTCGGTGGCAACAAAACTGTGACAAAAGCCGAGTGTAGTTTCCGTAAGGACCTCACAAATTCAATTAGATTTTCCTTCTTGTGGCTAAATGTTCAATTTGATCAATAATTCTCAAGCCTCGCAATGTTTTAATTCAGTATAATCTGCTATTTGTTTTACCATTTTGGCTATAACAAACAATCACACCCTGATAGGAGCCACAATTCCTTGAGGTTGTTACAATAGTTGCTCCTGTAAGAGATAAGATAGGAAATACACCCAGAAAGCCTCCAAAAATCCTCTAAGGAAACTATCACCTGGTTATATCACACCATGACTAGAGCCTTGGGGTTTGGAAATGACTCTCAGCTAGAAATCGTCTGCCCATCAATCCTTGACGTCACAGCAAGCTGAGGCTGAAAGATGAGTACACAAGGGAGTGAAAACGAGAAACAATGGAATAAGAGCTGGTTGAAAATGAAAATATTATGTGTGCCTTGCACAGTTAAAAATGAGCATAGAATTCAGGACTTGGATTATGTTATATTCTTAGGAGGTTGAATAGTCATTTGATACATCACACACCATCCTGCAACTAAAAGAGCATAATAATATTTAAGGCTGCTGCTAACAGTCTTGGCCAAGTTACTGAAAAATAGTAATTAGTTACAGTTACTTAAAATAGCCTAATTACTTTACCAGTTACTTTATATAAAAGTCATTAGTTACTAAGTAACTTTTGTGTTACTCTTAAATCTGTCTGCTTCAGTTATCTTATTATTGCCCACAGCTATATCATTTTGGTGGGACAAGACAAATGTAACAAGCCTATTTAAATTTCAGTAACTGTAGTTGCGTTAATTGTTTTTAATTACTAGTTACCACAAAAAGCTGTAACGCATATAAACAATATATAATTTTTTGTTGAATTATTTAGTTGTTCAAATGTGAGGTATTAACAGCAAGTGTCCACATCCCCAAGTGGTATCTTCAGACTGCTTGTTTTGCCTGACCAAAACCAAAGGATTTGGAATTTTAAAAAACATTGACATTGATCAAAATCCCACATTTGATTAATAAATAATTGATTGTCTAATAATCATTTCAAAACTAGATACAGTATAGTGAGAAAATAGGACCTAGTCTTTATACACGTTTTGCTACCAATATTCCATTTTTGTTCCAGGCAAACTTGGCAAGCTATTGCTGGATTCATCGTCAATGTTCTCCATGCTTCTCTGGCAGCCCATATGAGTTGACTGATCCAGAAATTGTCTTCCTTTCCCCTGCTACACCCCCTCCCTCTAATGGTGAAATCTGACAGAGGCAGACTTCAAATGGAAAACAAGGTGCTCCCCAGTGAGGAGAAGGCAATTATGGTCTGGCCTGATGTGCAACCTAATGCCAAGAATTCTATATCACAACGAAAAAACAAAACAAAACAAAACAAAAGGCCTTCCATTCCCTCTCCATTCGTAATGGCTTGATTGCTGCCGAGTGGAAGCAGTCCTCCTGCATGCCAACGACACTTTTTGTTTTAGAGTGCTGTGAACGGGGAGCGAAGAGCAGAGTAAATAGAAAAAAGGTATAGGATTGAGCAGAGCGGCACTGACATGCCCCAAACATGAGTCAAGTTCCACAGTAATTTCACATCCCATCTTCCCAAGGTTGTTCCTTTAAAGTC